GGATTAAATCTGCCTTGCTTAAAGTTTACATAAGTATTTGTGGATGCTTTTCCAAAACACAGGAACATGGAAACATGATTCGTTGTTTTGCACTCTGGTCCAAAAATAAGCCGTATAACATTTTGTATTTAGTCCAAAAATAAGCTATATATCTAATATTGCTTAAGATTTGGGTAATAAAACATACTTGGCGGCATTAACGGAGCAGATAGTAATGTAACTCTACAGATAAATGGCAGTTTTATTTTATCTTCGACTTGTCGTAGATCCAACGTTCTCAGATGGCTAATTAAGTTCAAGAAGTTTTAGGAGTTGAGCTTGCCAATAGTATTTCTAGAATTGCCTGATCTCGATCTGAAATTATCACAAGATTATGAGTCAGATGCTTTATGTATTTATTAGCTTCTAAAGTTAGGGCCTTGATATTGTTGTTAATAGCGGTGATTATTCAAATATATCTCTATGTAAGATAACGGAATCTACCAATTTCTTTTGGCAGTTACATAAATTCTGCAGATGCAAAGAAACCGATTACATCATTTATGATGTTGATTGCACTAGATATTTATTTTGAGAACAGGTTTTTAGGTCACCTAAGCTTTAGCTCAAGTGACCTTTTGCTATCAGTCTTCGTCAGTCGTCGTCCGTCGTCCATCGTCCGTTAACATTTTACATTTTCAACTTAAGCTGAAATACTGGCAAAGGGATTTCATTAATATTTCATGGGAAGGTTACTGACATCTCCCTGACCAAGTGTTGTTATTTTTCAGGTCGATCAGAAATCCAATATGGCCGACACGGCCGCCATTTTGAAAAACTATTTCAAACTTAATGTCAAGTTCTGCTGGGCCAATTGAACTGAAACTTTATAGGAATGATCGACTCATGGTCCTGACAAACTTAAGTTAACGTTATACTTAACTATTTTGTACTCAAATTGGTACATATTTTAACAACAAAAATAAATACTGTAGGACTCGGGTGACCGTTAAGGCCCATGGGCCTCTTGTTTATTGATCAAATTGGATCAAAATCTATTTGAAACAGACATTTCTGAAAGAAAAACATGCTTGTAGATTGACTAAGATCATTTGATGTAGACTGAAATTACAAATTAAAAAGATTTTAACCTGTATTGGCTGTGTATATATTGATGTCATTAGAACGACATGAAATAACTCATTTATATCTTGTACCAGTGAATAATATATACTTGTGTTCCAAAGGAATTCTTTTGAATAATATGTATTATTTTCAGAGGGGTGGGGGGCTGTCCTGTTCCATCCGATCATGTCAGAATTTATTGCAAATAGATAAATCATAAGAGATATTAAAAGGAAGATTTGCCATAAAAAAGACATAGTGTCACGCACCATAATAAAAAAAATATTATTGTACCCATTACAATTTTTTTTGAAACCAAGAAATATATATCTGATTGAGGATGAATACATATTGTGTGTGTTTTATTTCTGTTAATGTGATTCACCCAATAGGACTTTTCAGTTTTCAAATAATCACCTTGTACCATTAAAACTGTTTCAATCGTTTCATCCACATCCGTTTTCACCAACTTTACTACAACAAATCTCTGATTGGTCAATATTTAATGAGTATTTAGAAACTTGGAGGTCACCAAAATGTGACCCTTTTTAAGGCACTTCAGGCATAGTCAATAGTTAGTTAACAGATCATTTAAGAGTAAAACAGATCATTTAAGAGTAAATAATGTATATAAACAGGTAATAATGGTGATTTAAGAAATCATGATATAAACAGAAATGTGATATTAAGAAAAAATACATTACGTGACACCATGTATCATTAAATACTGTATCTAATTATTGTCTGTATCCTAGATAAAATACTTAGAAATAAACATCTTCAGGACCTGAGTTTGAGATAAATGGGACGTTTATAATAGCAAAATTTGACCATATAAGAATATAAGCAATATCTGGTTTCTGAAATTCTAAAATTTACAGTTGATAAACCAGTAGATACTGAGAACATTTACCATAGACAGGATGTAACAAATTTCTGGTGTAATCTTGACTATACAGCTGCTGAGGTGCTGTTATCCAGATAGTACAACAGAAAAATAGTCAGAGGTCAATATAAACGTGTGTCAAAGGTCATAGTCATGACCCTGAACCACACAGCTGGTTGATATCATCAGCAAAGTGCTACATTCTAATTTCAAGGAAATATGAAGTAAGATATCAGATACTCCTTTTTCTACTGAAAACATATTGCTTTGAATGATAGCATAGGTGTTTCTGTCGAACAGGTGCTTTGCAGATAAAAAAATAAAAATATAAAAATAAAGCATTTTGTTGACCCAGAGTCAGCTAATGTAATTGTAGTCTAGTGACTGTTTGTTCTTATTGGTAGAAGGTCACACGGGCAAAACACATCTTTTTGAAACTCCGCAGATACGGCTGCTGTTGTATTATTATAAGATAGAGAATTGTGTTTTAGATAGAGAGGCTTAGCATCTGTGTTTTGGGTATACTTCGCGGAACTGTTAACAAATAGAAGTGTGTACATCTTTATACTTCCTGAAAACGTTTCTGAGAACTTTGTTTTATAACAGAATGGGGATCTAGGTGTGTTTCAAATCTACAATTGAGAAAAGTCATTGTGTGTTGTTATTACACTGTACTTGATTTTGATACATCCTGAAATGAAGTTTCGGGTTTGGGGGATATACTGGAATTAGGTTGTGTGGGTCTCTCCGTCCGTCTTTCTGCCTGTAGGCACAATATTGTTCATTTGCACTACTACAAAAAGTACTGCGCTCTTCTCACTGATCATTCCTACATTGAACTGGTACATCTAAAAGATGTGGATAAAGTATGTAATTTGAAGTTATCTTCCATTTATGGAGTTACGTCCCTTTGTTTAAAACAATTGTTCGCACTTCTCCTTCGAAAGGACTGCACCAATTTGAATGATACTTGGTACACTTAATACCTACATTGAGGGACTGTGAATGAAGTATTTAGATTTAATTTACCTCCCCTATTTGTGGAGTTAGGTCCCTTGGTTTAAATAGATTGTTCGCACTTCTCAATCCTTCTATAGGACTGCACCAATTTGAATGATACTTGGTACACATGATACTTGCATCGAAGGGATGTGAATAAAGTATATAAATTGAAGTCACCTTCTCCAGATATGGAATTATGCTACTTTGTTTACAAACATTCTGTTAATAACTATTCCTGTAATCCTTGGCACAGGCAGGGGTTGCTAGTCTGCCGTTCTGGCGAGAGTTCTGGTCAATCCTGTTAATTGGAAATAACATTTATAAGAATTGTCTGATTCCGTTGGATGAAGAAGGCAAAAGTTTAACTGTTACTTACATCACAAGACAAGTGACAGTCACCCTGTACCTCCCCCATGATACATATTCAGGCCATATTTCAAATTTCATTCATGCCCTAAGACTTGATGTACTTGAAACAACATTAGCTTACTTTACATTGCTTTGTTCATCCCTACTAGTACCACGTATCCAGTTCTAGTCTTATAGTCCAGTTTGACTGTTAATTCTGCTATTCAAGGGATTTAGTCAAATGCTTAAAAAGATAAACATTATGATTTTGAAAACGAAAAGATTTAGCAATAAATACAATCTAATAATGCTTCTATACACTGTCAATTTTCCCTTCTTTGAGAAGCTAGAGTTGGCAATTTTCAATATACACAGAACAAAACTGGGCTTGGTTATTCTGATATTGACATTCACAATCAAACAATTCTCCTTCAGATATGATTTTCTTAAATTTAGGTTGTCTCCTTGTTTGATTCACAATAACAATCTGCAATGACTGTGGTTCATGGCCCGATTATCAGCTGGCTGAAATGCCTTCCTGTAATTTCTCGGCCTGTATCAGTATAACACACAATGATAGTGTAATTACAGTACCTGGCAGTACATACACCACTGGCAACTGAACAACGATCTTTACCTGGCTCCGTATCACAAAAACTGTGCTTCAGTTACCAGTAAACCACTCATTATGGATTTCCTGCAATTATTAATGACTTATGTTCATTAGCGTCCAAAAGTTCATATCCTTCCTTCTCCAAAGATCGTTTATTGACTACTAAACAATGGCATCAATTTCAAATAATTATGCCAGTCATTTGTCAATTTAGTTTGGGCTTGTTTTTTGGCCGTATTTGGCAGTCTAAATGAGCCATGTTTTGATCATAAATAATTGACATGGTTCTTAATATTGGTTTTTAATGCCGAGAACATAAACGAAGACTTATGAGAACTAAAAAGAAAAGGGTGGGTTAGGGTGTCAGGAAATTTTTCACAGAACCTGATAGCAGAGTTATGTTGTTCAAAAACGAAATAACCCCGAACACGTCATTAAATTTGATTGTAATGTATTGGCAAAGTCAAAATTCTGCTATAACTGAATGTAGGCTTTCTTCTTTTAACTTTTGGGCATCATGAAAAACAATCGTTAATTATAAATTGATAGATTGAGTCAGATCCTGGAACCAATGAATGGCAGCTATGGGAAGTTTTATCCTGACTTTATTATGAGTTTGGAAAATGGGGGGGGGGTCAAAATGAGGAAAATAAAGTCTTGTAAAAATCCTATTTTCTACAGGAGTTCTAACATACATTGATATGGAAGCTTATGTTCAAAGAAAGATTTTCAGCGAATGAAATGTCAGTGAAGAATTTATATCAGCTTAACATTAGTATAGAATCAATGCTATCATAACTCCATCCCAATCAATCTATGGTAATTGTGTCATGGTTATCTCAAAGTACATATTAAATGCAGTATTTGAGCTAGATCCATTCTTAATATTGCTATTGCCGAATTCTGTCCCCTGGTAGGAACATCAGACTATTGAATTTTCACCCCAGAATAATTAAAGAGATGCAATAGACTATATCAAACATTGTTTTAACTGTTGAGTCCAATATAAATATCAACCATTCCTTACTGATGTTTTTGTTTTTGTAGTGTGGTGTTGATGTAAACAAGTCCAACTCGTACGACCAGACAGCGCTGGACATCGTGACGACCTACACTACGACACGTGCTGCTCGGGACCTGAAACAGCTGCTCAAAGGTACGTGTGTATATAGCGAAGTTAATCGGGTCCTGTACACAGAAGGGAGGAGGCAAAAATATCAATATCAAGGAAGTGGTTATTATAAACAGGTTGCTCATATGAGAAAGTAGGAACTTCAGGATTTTTAAATTCCGGCAGCTATTATAGACACCTGATTGTTATGGACAGGTGGTCTCAAATACTTGTTGGGCTGTTATTAACCCTTTCACCACTATAGCCAATAATGGACTCATCCATATCAGTGCATGGTAGAGTCTACTAAAGTTACATAGGGGTGAAAGGGTTAAAATATATCAAAATCATACTGTTGCAAAACCTAAAAGAACTAAAAAGAACTCAAAATTAATTGACATAAGTAGTTTGGGCTGTTCTGTTATTTGATTTAACTAAATTTGAGCAAAAATCAAGATAATGGGGATTTAGCTGATTTTGAAAGTCATAATAAGTGTGAATAATTGAGAAACATCTCCAAAAATGGTGACTTTGAAAGTGTATCAAATTATATTTGAAATATTGTGTCCATATCATTTGATGATACCAGTCTTAGTTGTTATCTTTGAAAGTCTTTATATTAACACTAGAATGGTCAATCACAGTAAATAAGTTGCATATAATTGCACATAGAATAATTTTGACAACTTGAAACAGACATGAAAGTAAATGACATCAAAGAAGGGAGGGGTGTCGCATTTCATAGAGAAATTGATTGACAATATCAATGTGCCCAGTGAGTGTTAAAGCTGTTAAAGATAAACATGAAGCCATAAAAGTGAAAGAGTTTTTACAAAATTATGTGAACATTTATGTGAATTTGATCATTTAAACCACAATTCAAAACATAATTGTTATATTATTTTAAAAAGAGATTACCCCATTATTGTTGTTATTTTTCTTGAGCTGTCATCAAAAAATCATATTTTGATTTTGGACTGAACAGTCAGATTAGCTTATCAATAAGTTCAGCAAAATTATAATGACAATTCTTTTCTTTTTTTAAAATCAAAACTGCATGCATAGACAAAGCATAAAAAAAGGAAAATAATTTTCCTTCAGTAATAGTTTTATAGAGGTAATTCTGGGGAAAAAATCTGTAAATAAAACAATATTTTAAGCTAGCAATGCATTGAGAAAACTGGACTGTGATTATATTTGATTCACAATACCACAATAATAGGTAATTAATATTGTTGAAGAAATGACTATAGAAGCTTTAAAGAGAAGGGGAAAACTTTGACTCTACTTTTGCAGGATAAGTTCTTTTTTGAGCTTCTTTCACACACAAATGATTTTGACAATCATATAACTTCAATCTGTTACCTGGCGTAAGGTATAATTTGATATTCACTAAAATTGCTGAACATTTTCTATGAGAGTTATCTCCCCTCCATTGCATCAGAGTGAGAAATTATTGAGTTTATAAATAGATTTAAGGTGTATGTGTTCTGTACTGTATCAGAGTTACCTCTCTTACATTAGAGTAAAAAAGGGAAATTGTAAAATAACATAGTTTTGATGAAATCAATATAACTTACATCCACTACATAATAGTCTCAAAACTTATCATAGTTATTGATTCACCAAATTTGATAGCAAATATCCTTATGACATTGAGGATAAAAAATGTACAGAGATAACCTTTTTAGGGGGTTAGGGCTGGGGCCAAAAGGTGTAACATGGTCATCAGGTGAGGATGGTGTAAATATATATGAATAAAGGGACTGACCCCCTATTAGATGGCTGAGAGACAGGGCAAAAAAGGGGAAATTAGGCCACATTGCTTTAGCTTTAAAACAATGTCTAATTTATAACAAATACATCTGCTTTTTGGGCATGAATATGTTCACACAATCATGTTACCATGACTGGCCCCAGCACCAATCACTCATGTGGACAAAACTCCTAGATCATAATAAGGAAACAGTTAAGAACCCCACATAAAACCATACATCTGATTACTTAATTTAAAAAGATGAATACACTCAAGCTAGTTCAATAGCCCATGGGGTATTAATACTTGGATCATAACATGAAATCATAAACATAACCATATACATGTGTATGTGTTAGCTCGGAATGAAGAGATAAATGTTAACACATTCATGCAGGACTAGATCCAGGGCCTAGGTGGCCTAAATCTATACAGAGACGTATTATACGTCTCTGATCTATAGAACTTGATTACAGGGTCATAACATTGATACAGACAAGGTCACTAACCTAGAAACAGATACATGGATCTAAGATAAACTTCTATAAAGTTTTCTAGTTTCTGGGGACCTATGAATCTAATGATTTGTTACGAAGCATCCTTCAGACTAGGACATTAAATGTCGCATAAAGTTAAGATGTCGTCCCCATGAACGTTGAGAGTTACAGCCCAAAACTGGGAAATATTTGCTATATTACTTTTAATATTTCTCCATGATTGCTTAAATATCCATGTGAGCGATACAAGCCATCTGGGCGGGCCTCTTGTGTTGTAGATTTATTATCAAAATCGTAAATTGTAAGTTAACTACAGTTGTGTTTATAGGGTATATGTGTACTATGGACTATGTGAGTTACCTCCCCTATATTAAAGTTATAGTGATCATTCAAAATCATTATTTGTTTTCCAACTTTGCTTTCAAAATGGAAAAATTATAGAATTACTCAAAGGTAAAATTTACTATCATTGTTGTGTGTGCATGTGTGTGTATTTACTATGCATGTCTATAGATTCCCATAGACTTTTCGTCTCTGTGTGTCGATGGTCTCTACTCAAGCATGAAATTGTGCCTCACACACTCCTTCTCCTGGTGTTCAATTTCATTCATTAAATTGTCAACTTTTACATTGATTTCATTTTTTGTATCGATGTGACCTATTTAAATGACATGTTCGATCATGCATGGTAGTTAAATGTTGTTTATTTTCTTTAGATTGTCCATTTCCTTTACTTGATGAATGGTTCATGTGCTGTTATTATTTTCACACATTCCTGTCAAACTGTAGCTCCACTTAATGTAGTTAATTTAGTCGTGTCTTTTTGTTGTACATGGTGTTGCTTAGTCATAAAATAAGGAAGTAATTGAAAGATTGATGAAATAAAAAACAGAAAATTACAAAACAAATCTACAGAAAAAACGGGGAGTGGGAGATCCAACATCCGTGCAAAGAGTTCAGTGGAGTTCTGTGTTACCCAGCAGAGGGTTTCACAAGGACTACATGGGTCCGGCCATGGTAGTAGAGTTATCAATAGGTAAAGATGACCATTACAGTGCTGTGCTGGGTTGAACGGCTTTGATCAAGGGTTCTGATGACGACACATCTAAGGTGTCAAAACTAGGCAACGTATTCTTGATTAAAGCTGTTCAACCCAGCACGACGTTGTCATGGTCATCTTTACCTATTGATAAAACAAATGTTTGATAAACAAAATCTGTATCAGTGCAGATTTTGAGTTGATGAAGGTCAAAATGATGAAAACAATGCTTATTAGGTCACCTGAGACAAAGTCTCAAGTGACCTATTACGATCGCCTTTTGTCCGTCGTCGTCCGTCGTGCATCCGTAAACAATTTACATTTTCGACTTCTTCTCCAAAACCCCTGAACCAATTTCAATGAAATTTTTCAGAAACCTTCCATGGCCAAAGGTCAACAAAAATAGTGGCCGGTTTGGTCCCCAGGCCCCAGGGGCCCGAGGGGCGGGGCCAAGAAGTGTCAAATTGACTAAAATTTTAAAATCTTCTTCTCAAGACCCAGATATGGTATAATCAAATACTCTTCATATATGGAAGGGTCTTAAGGTGCTTTACCAAAATTGTGAATTTCTTGACCCTGGGGTCTCACGTTTCCCCCTGGGGAGGGGGTAAACTTTACTATAGTTTATATAGGGAAATCACATTTTGGACCAACATTTGTTTAATTTCCATTGGAAGTAATTCAATTTGGGTTAGCATTATCAGTATTAGGTAGCAGTTTGATAGTATGCACCTATGAGCCCTGACTGACCCCCAGGGGCTGATGGGTGGGGCCAAAAAGGGTTGAATTGACTGAAATTTCAAAAATCTTCTTCTCATAGACCAAACACTCTTCATAGATGGAAGGGTCTTGTTTATGATCCTTGGGTCTCATGTTTACCCCCTGGGGAAGCCGGGGGGGGGGACATTTATTATGGTTTATAATGGCAAATGATACTTTGAATATTACATGTTAATAACTTGATTGGAATTATAACCCTGAGTTGACAGTTTGATACTTTGAAAATTTTGAGCCAGCCCTACCCCAAGGGCTGGAGGGTGGAGCCCAAAGGCGTCAGTGTGCTAAAATTTCTTCATTTTCCTTGTTTAGAATCAGAGGTGCTAGTTTCAAATACTTTTTTAGTCTTAAAATCTGTAAGCTAGATATTGAATAAGGTGGTTTTATTGTTTTTTGTCACTTTGAATAATATTTTTGTTCATGTTAAAATCAAAATAAACTCTCTCTATAAATAAATCAGGTGACCGTTAAGGCCCATGGGCCTCTTTTTTTCTTCACACTTTGTATTCTAGTGCTCAGGGACATGCCATTGTGCCATTGAGGTTATATTTAGACTGTCAATGATATGCAGTGTGTAAGTTTTTTATATTTGGGTGGTCGGGTGGTGCAGTGGATTACACACACGCCTTTTACCAAGGCGACCGGGTTTCGATTCCCTTATCGGACATGAAAAGGTATGGGTTCACCTGCCCGACCACATGGGTTTTCTCTGGGTATTCCTGTTTCCTCCCACATGAAGAACCCTAGCGTCCAGCAAGGGTGATATATATAAGCTGCTATAGCTTGTTTTGTAATTGCTGTAAAATAAAAAAGGTTTACATATATATTCCTTATATCTATTATAATGATATGTAATCAGTGAGGTCTGTATGATTAGTACATATTATCATTCCTGTGAAAGCGGATCGGAGTTATCTGTATGTTAAGATCAGGTCGTGGCCATCTACATATTAAAGTTTATTAACGGTTTTTCAATAGCATGTTAAAGGCAGGTCTAGTTCATGTGTCGATTGTGTTAGGGTTTTCTACCTTTTAGGTCAAGGTCATGTCAGTTAATGCCATATCAAGGTCATCGGATAATTGAAAACAGGTCAAGGTCATATGTCAGTAGGAATGTATTAAAGATGACGTATAGGGATCACACCAATTCCATGAGCTTTTAGTGTCTGAACAAAATTACATAGTGTCAATTAACTTTTAAATTAATCGGTTTTTATCCAAATCTGAAAATCAGTATGACCGCAAGCAACCATGTTGGATTTCATTAAAAATCACATGGTCTTCATGCAATAATTTTTTGAAGTAATGCTTTGGTTTCATGAAGTTTTCTACAAATGTAAATAGAATGAATTACCACCTCAACTTCGATTTTGATCCAAATCTGAACATCAACATGGCTGCCAGTGGCCATTTTGGACTTCTTGAAAAGTCACATGGTTTTCATGCAATAACTCTTAAAGGAATGTTTTGATTTTTATGAAACTTTCTACACATACATATATAGTATCAAGCCATTATTTAACCTACGCTGGAATTCTGATAACAAGACCTTATATATGTTACAATAATTGTTTTCTTATTAAACTTGGGTGTGGCTCATACATCTGCATTGCAGATATTGTGCACATATATTGTAACTATATAATGTATAGTTCATAATGGGGGATTTTTTTTAATGGGGACAAAACTGTTTTGTGTAATGATAGCCATCTTGTCAAAAAAGAATCCGAGAGAATGTGATTATAATGCTGCACACACAAATATGTTTATAATACAAGTGTTAAAATCAACACTGTAAAATCAAAATTACACTTCCCACTTTGTGTATATAGAAAGCGGTGTTACGTTGCCGGTAAATTTAATGTTTATGTAGAGGTAGAGCAGGTACAACAATCCACGTTTGTTGGCGAAGTTTTTAGCTCCCAATGTTTACATGTCCTGGATGATTCATAGGTACCTTACCTATCTACTACGCCTTATCCTTGTCACAAAAGGCATCTATTAGGCCCGTATACGTCATATTACTAAACATCGTGTGATAGACTCGGACTAAAGGATCTGTACTTCCTGGGGATCTCTAGTGATTGGTGAGTTACAATGTTTGTATCTTCACGTAATTGAATATGTCTGATTTATATGGTGATTTTGTTTGTTCACCGGTCGGTATATTTACATAAGAATGGATTGTTATATATATTATTAGTGAATATATATACATATTTACCTTGCCAGGTCAGGATACAGGTTTTTGATTTATGCTGTATGTGGGATTGAGTGAGAGGGAATGTGACACCGTTTATTCACTCTCCAGATGAATGTGACCTTAATGTAAGTTACAATACCTATTAAGGTATTATATCATTTACACCTGTACAATGTTGTAGATTGGCTGGTGTACCTTGGGCAGGCATGTGACATATACCAGACTTTGTTACAAAAAACTCCTGAGACATTACGTAAGGCCCCATATAACACTCAATACAAAATTCTATTCTATAAATCACTTTCACTTGGTGGGGTATCAATTTTTATAGTTTTTAAATGCTTTAGTGTGTTCATGTATTGTAACTGATATTTACATAAAATGATGCACACAGATAAAGTAAAAATATGCCTGAAAGGAAATGATGTAGAGAATATATTGAAGGTGATTAGGTTCTGTTTTGTAAAAATGCTCAAATGACTTCCTCTGAAGAACCGAAAGGCGTTTGATAATGATACTTTGTTGGGCCTCTTATGGATGTTTAGCACTTGGCAAAGCCTCATGTTAACATTCAACAATATTACCCTTGCAAGTTGGGTTGAGATTTCTCTGTCTACGACAAAGATTCTAGAACAATCTTCAAGAAAAAAAAGGTCTCAATAGCAATGATATATTCAGGTACTGTGATACAGAGAAACATGTCTTAAAGGAAATCATGGAACAAAAACACAGAAAAAATATGTTTTAAATGAAACATTTTTATCAAAGATACATTAGGATATGTATTCTGTACCGTATTTTACCGCAAATAAGCCCCCTCTCACAAATAAGCCCCCTCCCCACTTTGGTAAATGTCCTGGGAACAGGGTGGAATATGGAAATTATGTAGCTCGGATACAGGGAAAGGATGTAAGTTTGATACATACATATATTTCCTGTAGGCCACATAGATACAGTGAAATGTGTTTTACCAAAAAAAACTGATAACTTGTGAAACCGTGACTTTCTCCATAAATACAATGTACAACTTTATTGTAGACCTGTAAGTCTATATGCTGTCATCATAATCATTACAGTAGGATAGTGGCTCAATGCTCCTCCTCTCAAAACTTCTACAAGGTATCATTTTTCTTGAACTATAAACATATTTTGTTCATGAAAGGTCCATGTAGGTCATATGCAAATCTACCATTGCATATGGCTGTCATCATATTTTGTTTTTATACCAGTGTAGCTGTATAAAAAGGTACCGACATATGTGTGATTAACATGTAAATTAATAGTTAGTGTCATGATATTGTATGCTCTATGAATGTTTATTACTTTGTTGACGACACAGTGTATCTTTTTTTAAAAAAAAAATCAAATTAAATATGGTGATTGTCTGACATTCTCAATCTTGACAGGCAATAATCAGTCTGGTATTGCTGTAATTTTGAACAGAACATTCTGTTCATCATATACCTGACCTGATATGAGTTAAAAAAAACACCAACTCAACAGGCTATATTAAAGTCATAATTAAACCCGACATTAGGCAAAGTGCATCAACATCAGGTAGATGGGGATAGTTATATAGAAACATATGTAAATGAATACCTACATATAAAATTTACTGCCCATTTAGATTTCTAAAAGCGTATCTGTGGTTTCGAGGACATGTGTACATCTGCATTTTTTCTGTGACTCATTAGTATGCAGCAGGTGAGATAACGAACACAGCGAGACTGGCCAGGTAAAAGCCGGGCTGACCTGCCATTACAATGACAACACTCCATACTTACATCATTGTCAGTGAAATTTGTTTTCAAACTTGTTTTTTGCATGTCTGCAGGGTTTTAATAAATTAAACCATGTAAAAAATATGATAAATTGTTATGGCAAACTTCCATTAATTTTAAAAGTGAACATTTTTTTCTGTGTTCTTCTTCGCTGTAGACATTTTATGCGTTATTTGTTTTTTATGCCACCTTTAAGATGTGCTACACCACTAGAAAATGCATCACTGACCTTGGTTTGTATCGACGGTATCTCCATGTTAGATGCTGTCTT